TCTGTGTCTCTGAAAACCACAGCGGCTGAGGTGCATCCTCTTTGCTGTCCCAGGCGCACAGCTAGGCCATCTCCCAGCTTTCCTGGTGGCCAGGTTTGTACTGGGAGGCCACTGGAGCCAGAACAGATGTGAGCCCTGCCAGGGCCGCCCATAAAAATCTCGCACACGAGCCCTCGCCAGTTTGGCTCCGTGGAGAGAGCGTTGGCCCAAGGACTGAAGGGTCCTGGGTTCAATTCCAGTCAAGGACGCCTCAGTTGCAGGCTCAATCCCCGGCCCTGGTCGGGGCATGTGTGGGAGGCAACCAATTGATGTGTCTCTTTCATATCAATGTTTCTCTCTGTGTGTCTCTCCCCCTCCCTTCCACTCTCTCTAAAAATCAATGGAAAAATATATTCGGGTATGGATTAACAAAACACACACACACACACACACACACACACACACACACACACACACAAACACTCACACATGAGATCCATCCGCCACCATCTTTCCCATCCATGGGCTAAAGCAGGGGTGGGAATGTTGGGCCCACCGGCCACATAAGGCCCTAGAAATTATTTGGTCTGGCCCCACCAAGGCAACCGCAGACAGGACTAGAAATTCAATAAACCTAGGAGCTTCTTTCACAACAACATAAATTTATATTAAGTGAATTATATTAAGCAAATGATGTTATAAATATCCAAATGGCCCCTGGGCTAAAGGAAGAGGATCTTGCGGCCCCTGCAGAGGGTGGCGCCTCAGTGGGAAGGAGTGAGGGTCCCTGACTGACTGCTCAGGGCAGAGCTTCCTGACCATCAGGGATGGTCTCGGGGAGAAATAAACTTACCCCGTCAGGCCAAATTTGGGGGTAGTTTGTTATGGTAGGGATCCTACCCTGACTAACACACAAGTCCCAGAATTCATTCATTGAGCCCATAATAAAAATAACACTTAATTCTCTCTTTCAGACATCACAGCTATGTGGTGTAATGAATGGCATGAGCCCATTTCCAGATGGAGAAACTGAGGTTCAGAAAGATTACATAACCTGATAACAGCTATCATTTACTGAACTCTCAGTATGTGCCAAGCACTGTGCTAATGCCTCGAACACAGTATCTTTTGTATTCCTTATAAAAACTCCCATTGGTGTTGCTATTATTTCTATTTTACAGATGAGGAAACTGAGGCTGAAAGAGATTATTCAACTTACTCAGAAAGGGAGAAAGAAGTCAGAAAGGAGGAGGAAGGGAGGAGAGGGGAGAGAAGAGAAGGGAAAGAGGGAATAAATGAGAGCAGTAGGTTTCAAACTAAAAAGCTATTACTGCCTATTCGTTCAGTCCCAAGGAGTCTCTAATAATAATCGGTCCACATCTTCAAATACCAGCTAACTTCTAATCTGGCAGAGAACTGGAGAGCTTCACACACCATAAAGGTTAAAACCATTATGTCAAAATAAAACATATGGCCGTTCAAATCTGCATTTATTACATCTAATCGGAATAGACACGGTCAAGTACATGAATATTTTAGCAGTTTCCAACAGGCAAAGCACTGTGCCAAGACCCAATTGCTCACTAATCGGCACACATCCGGCGTTGCGGGTGTTGACTGGAATGACACCCCACCCTCCCCTCTTGGCTCCCACGCCCGGTGGTCCCTCATCTTGAGTCAGGTGCCATTTGCTTCTGCCTTTGAGTAGCACCCCAGGCACAGAGGGACTTGAAAGCTCCCTCTCACCAGGTTCACACTCTTGATAAATGTCTGGGGAACCCGATAGGCAAAGGCAAGCTATTTGGCTCTAAAATCAAATAGAAAATTCAGATCTTTTCATGTAATCCTTGACTAATGAGCTTTAATGAAGAGATTTTGGTGATTGTTGTTTAAACCTCGGGACATACAGGGAACACAGGGGAATTAACAGAGATTTATGCTCTGGGCAAGTCCAATAAAGGCCCGAGTCCTCATGCAGGGAACACGGTGAGAGCACAGTCATGTCCCCAACGTCAGTCATTCGAGTCCCTGCCCTGAGGAGTTTTTCATGTCTGAGTATCACCTCGCAAATTATTCATCTGGTTTTCTTTGAACCAACTCACCTTCTATTAGTAAATTTTGCATCATTCTGTACATGAAAATCCAGTATCACTCACCCTATTTAAAAGGTGTATTAGGCAGGAAAGGTTAGGCAAAGCAGCAACAGTTCAGGAGTTCAAAGGTTTAACACGACAAGCGCTGCCTGTGCAATGTGGGCTGGCAGAGGGCCCCCAGGCAGTGACAGTCTCGGGCCGGGCGAGGGCATACCGCTCAGAACAGGAGACGAACACCTGGAGGGTGGCTGTCCTGATTTTATTTATTTTAATATAGTTTCATTGATTTCAGAGAGGGAGGAAGGGAGGGAGGGAGGGAGAGAGAGAGAGAGAAAGAGGGAGAAACATCAATGATGAGGGAGAATCATCGATCAGCTGCCTCTTGCACACCCCACACTGGGGATCAAGCCCAGCAACCCAGGCATCAAACTGTGGTTCATAGGTCACCGCTCAACCACTGAGCCACGCCGGCCAGCACTCATGATTTTAAATCTTCCGCACACAGCCCATTGGCCACGAACAGTCACATGGCCCAGCCTTGCTGCAAAGGGAATGGGACGTATGGGTGCATGTGCCTTCTGGTGAGCAGCAAACATCTCTGCTGCGAAGGCAATGGCCCAGGTAATAAAACAACAACAAAACAATATACATTCTACCTCAGAGGCTATGCTGCAAGCCAGCTCTGAGCAGAACGTTCAGAAAGGAAAGCAATTAGCAAGTGTTACACATGTGTTAACAACAGTTCTAGACCAGCTGAGACTGGTGCCAACAAAAGGACTACAGAGAACTGATGCCCAGTGTGACTTCGTGTTGGTCATGTGCCCCTGTATCAACTGACCATCTTCAAGAAGAACCAAACTTGGAGGTGGGGAAGGAAAGAATAACCAAACTTCAGAAAGACTTTCTTTGAAGCAAAACAGAAACCAGACAGGGATGAAAGGTGTTGTAAGTGACATACGAGCCCTTGGTGCACAACAGCACCACTGATGTGACAGATGGTATTTTCCAATGATGACACCGATATATCCCATCTCATTAGCTCTCACGTGTGACAATGACAGACCTGCAAGGGGACGAGCCTGTGTTCTCTTTGATTCTGAGCGGGCCTGTGAGTGCAGCAGAGGTGAAATCCATGACTTCCAGGGCTTATTTTAAAAAGGTGACACACCAGCAGCAAACCATGCCTGGTGCCCAGGTCTTCGTTTCCAAACCACTTTCCAGTAAAAGGAACCAGAGCTCCTTGGAGAAATGGCTGGTTCTAGACGGGGCAGGAAATAAACATGAGTCCGGAGCATCTCCTAGTGGCAAAAGGTAAGGCTGTGCGCAGGCCCGCGCACACGCACACACAATGGGAGAAGGAAAGGGACATGGAGCCAACCCGAAAGAATTCCCAAAGGCCAAAGCTGGACCAATTCAAGCAACAAAATACATAATGTACTATTGGACTATAATCCAAAGTATAAAATAAATAAGCATGAGTAAATACTGATATAAATCATGATTGCATAAATAAATAGGTAGAACGGGCAAATGCCCTGTGTAGAAGTTCACATAATTCATGTGGATTCCTGCCCTCAGGGAGGGGGGCCTACCTTCCCACTCCTGAAGCGTGAACTATGAATGAGTGACTTGCTTCCTAAGAAATCCAGCATGGAAAAGGGGAACCTCCCAAACACCACCTCAGCCATGTGATCAAGGCTGGCGTCAAGCGACCAGTCGTGCTGGTGGTCCGTGCCCCAGATACGACCTGATGATAGGGCACTTTCCCTCTGGGGTCTTCTCTCCTCAACCCCACAATCCCAGCCTAATCATGAGGAAAACACCAGAAAGATCCCCATGTGGGACCTTCTACAAATGCCTCACTACTCATCATTGTCAAGGTCGTCAACAGGGAAGTGGGAGAAACTGTCATAGCCAGGGGGCACGCAGGAGACAAGACAACTACATGTGATCCTGGATGGACTCCTAGGACAGAAAAGGGACATCAGGCAAAAGCGAAGAATCCTGCTGGGTCCATTTAGTAAAAATCCCTGCCCTTAGTCTATCATCGAATTCCTCGTCCCTCAACCTTGATGGCTATGACCCTGGCCTTCCGGCAAGAATCCTGTGAAGTCGATTTAGCAGAATCGCCCTTACCCCGTGTTTCCTCTGTAATATTTCCATCCGCGGACCCGCCCGGCTCTTGGTGACAGATCTGCACTTGCTGTGTCCCATCGCCCTCCCCATCGCAACCCCCCATCGCGGTCGACCCCTGAACCAAGCCCGCTTCGTCCTCTTTTACAGCTGCCATGGGTAATTTAACACCATATAGGATCCGCTTCTCTTTTCTACTCGGAGTCCACACTAAGTATCAGCAGAACTTTCTACTGCCTCTGTCCAAGGCTACAATGGCCTGCGTCCCTGGGTTCCCCAAAACCACACCCTCAGGGGCGCCCCCGCTCAGCATCAGGCGGCCTGGCGGGAGGGGGGGCACCGGCCGCGGGTGCAGCATCCGGAGCTCAAAGTCAGCATCGGTCACTTTCCAAAGGACAGGGTTTGCCACTTTATGTCACCGAGCTCGGGCTACCCCGCTGTGAAACTCAAAGCTAAGAACCTTAGTTGTAAAGATTGGATAAACATGATGGCTGTGAAGCTGTCATCGCAGAGGAACCGCAGGCAGGACCCACGTGGGAGAAAAACTGAAGCAGCCCAGCCATGCGCGGCCCCCGACCGCAGACCTTTAACCCGGACTGGCCGGCCGCGAGACCCACCGCTCCTCCAGGGACTCCGTCCGACAGCTGTGAGAGTCCACACCCCTCGCGCGAACCTCTGACGTCTCGTGGGGGGGGGCGGTACGGACCAATAGGAACGAGTCCCCGCGAGACGCGACGCGGCGCAGACGCGACGAAGGTCCTTACACAAGGAGGGGAGAACTGCGCAGGCGTTGGATTAAAGATCCAATCCGGAGAGGACAACTTTGCGCACGCGCCTTGGAAGGCTCGTCAGAGACGCGACAGAGCCAGCGCATGCGCTCTGAGAATTCCGGGTAGCAACTCTCCAACTCTCCAGACCAGAGCAACCTTGGGTAGGAGCGAGTAGCCCTGCGCATGGGCAATGATTTTATTTCAGAATTTTGCGCGTGCTTGCAAGCCAGGATGTTCTGCGCCTGCGCAGTTCTTGTATCGCCTTGGTTTGACTCTAGTGCGCCTGCGCGGTCTTTTGTTTCTTACTCGTAGCTGCCGGACCAATCGGCGTTGTCTTCGGCCTGGAGGTCGGCGGACTGGGAACGTTTGAACCGCGGGGTTCCGAATGGCCCGCCAGAGATGAACCCCAACCCGGGGGGCAGCGCAGGGAGGGAAAGGGTGTGAGTCCTGGGGGAGGAGGGAGGGTGTGGGCAGGTGCCGCGCCCGAGGGAGCAGGTGGGGCCCGCGCGCTGGGCGCCTGAAGGACCGGGCTTTCCCACTCGGCCACTCGGCAGGAGCTAACTCAGCATCAGCATCGCGTTGCCCCTCAGGATGCGAAGACCGGTAAGTCACCATGCTTAGGGGGGGCCGTCCAGGGGGGCGAGGGGCTGGGGTCACGGCGACAGAAAGAGCCCGTCCACCCGGTGCAGGCAGAGCCAAACGCTAGACACGGGGGTTGAAGTGGAGAAATACGGGCTGTTTTATTGATGAAGGGCGCCGTTCAGGAGACGGGCGCTAATGCCCAAAAGCAGGAACTTGGCTGTAGATTATTCCGGCAAAGGCACGGGACACCGTGGGTTTGGGGTTCCGGTTGTGCTGGGTGCCCATGATGAGAAGGTGAGGTGAGGGAAATGAATCTTCTGATCTTGAGAGCTTTGAGGTCTTTTCCGGTCCGTCTGTCCGGTCTCACGGGAAAGTAGGAGCTGACCCATAACGTACGTCAAGATGTCATGTTCAGCCTGACCGAGGCCGGGACTGGGACCCCATTCGGCAGGCCCGGCTGCTGCCTTCTGATGCCTGGGGGGCAAGGCGGGGGGGCGGGTCCTGATTATCCAGGGGAAGGCCGGGTCTCTGAGTATAGAGAGAAAGGGATGGGATTTCCAGAGCGAGGATTGAAACCAAGTCAGTCCTGAGGACCTCAGTTTCAAATGGTGCCCTGTCGTCAGGTTCCTTCCTGAGAAGTTAAGGTCTCGCTTGTTCAGCAGCCTCCGTTGAGTGCCTGCTGTGAGCTGGGCGGCTTTCAGGTTCCAGGGAAATGCAGAGCGATGTGTTTGCCCTGGAAGAGCTCACAAGCTGGTATTAGAGACGTGTGAGCAGGTATGAGTGCTGCATGTGGCAGCTGCTATCAAAGACGCTCCAGGAAACACTGCCCGAGAGCCTTGGCGGGCCCCTGCAGGGGGTCGCTGAGGGTGGGCTGAAGGTGGGATAGATTTGCCAGAGAAGAGGGGTAAATATTCTTCCTGAACAGATATTTATCCTGTGCCCACTGCACGCCTGGTATTGTGCCGGGCCCCGGAGACACAGTGGTGACCCAGACAGATGGGGCCCTGCCCTCAGAGCTTATGCCCAGCAGAGAAGTCCATTGTCGAAGGACCCTCGCACTGGCACGTGAGATGTGTGTTAGAAGGACAAGTGTAGGAAGCTGCAGGAACCTACCGGGGACCAAGTCTGTATGTGGTCGCCCTCTCTCTGTATATATTTTCTAAATCTCAGTGGTTGACATGTTGGCCACTGGAGTCATCACAGTTTTATTTTATAAAAAGAGAATTGTATGGATTCATGTGTCCCTCATGGTGTTTGCTGTAACTTATTTCTTCCTCCACCAGCAGTCAGCCTGAGCTGGCAGTGGGCCTGATGGCAGAAGACAGCAACCGAGACGCGCTGGCGGGGCCAGGGGCTCTCTGGGAGGCCCTCCGGGCGCTCCTGCCCCGCACTAAAGAAGAACTGCGGTTGGACCTCGGTGCGAGCGTGGAGGGGAGTGTGGTGGTGCTGCTGCAGCAAGCCGCCGACCTCTTCTACGGGGGCAGACGGAGCGAGTGTCTGCAGACGAGCGAGGCGGTCCTTGACTACTCCTGGGAGAAACTCAATACCGGGCTGTGGCAGGACGTGGACAAAGACTGGCGTCGGGTTTATGCCTTCGGCTGCCTCCTGAAAGCCATGTGCCTGTGTGAAGGGCCTGGGGACTCGGCCACCGTGGCCGCAGCCCTCAGAGCCTGTGACATGGGCCTGCTGATGGGAGCGGCCATCTTCGATGACATCCTCATTAAAGTCGCTGCCGTCCTCCAGGCGCACCTTCCCCCTGGAAAAAGGCCTGCCCAAAGTCCGGCCCCGGAGCAGCCCCGCTTAAAGGTATCTTGGTGGCATTGTCCGCGACCATACCTAACACAACCCAACAGCCCTGTTTTTCTAGAAGGGACAAGTCACCTCTCTGGCTGAAAATAGCATCTCCATCGACTTGGAAATAGAACAGCTCCATCTATTTTCTCAATCTCTTCTTCCGGTTTCTGCAGAAGCAGTGTCCTTTTGGGAGAGGGAGGGTGCAGCTTCGTCGTTCCTAAGAGAAACAGCTCAGGGATTGTGTGGGTGAGAGTGCAGCCAGCTAGCCCATCTCTTTCAGCTTCTTGGTCAGCTGGTTGAAGTATCACCCACTTTGCTGGCTGCCTCTGTCCCTGTGCTGCTGAGTTTGGGGGAGATAGCACAGTTAGCTGTCTTCTGATCAGGTGACTGATCAGTCCTGCCCTGTAGATCCTTGCACATGTCCCTGCTGGTATTTAAGTGCACGTGGCAAAGGATGGTTTACTGAGACGGCTTCAAAGCCCAGTGCTGACACACAGACCTCTGGGCAGGTCTGTTCACAAAGAGGAAACATCTATAAAAAAGTATGGGGAAATGTTCAACCTCATCTTGGTTTTAAAAAACAGGCAGTCATTTTTAGCTGTGAAATTATTAAACAAGCTTTTGTACTATATCCAGCATTGCCAAGGGTGCCAAGAGCTAAGTACATGGTGTGTTCACTGACCTTGGAGAGGGCAGGGCAGACGTGTAGATCAAGGGACAAAAACCTGTCCCCTTTGACCCAGGTGTTACAGTGCCCTTTCCCATGCTGAGTCTGTCCAAGGGCATATGGAGGTGGCTTCGTGGCCAAGGTGGTCCTCATGGTGTGGGTGGTGTTGGCCAGTGGACATGCTAATAGATAAGGGCCTGAGAGCGCAGGCTCTGGAGCCAGCCTGCCTGGGCTCAAGCTCCCGCACTGCCATCCACTACCTGTGAGTCAGGCAAGTGTCATAGTCCCTCTGTGCCCCCGCTGCTCCCTTGCCTGTAAGAGGGGGTTTTCTCAGCAGCTTTATGGAGCACCAGCAGTGGCCCAGATGTGCCAGCGCTAGGTGATGGTACAGAAGGGCCCAGGCCCTGTCCTCTCAGCACTGACAGTAGAGTGAGGCTGTAAAAGATGGGGGGAGGCAGCTTCAGGGAGTGTTCAGGGAAGGCCTCTTTGATGAGGGACATCTACATATATAAAAGCCTAATATGCAAAGTGTCCCCTTGGGAGTTCAACCAACAGGGAGTTTGATTGCTCACTATGACGTATGCTGACTGATCACCAGGGGGCGGTGCAGAATGAAAGAAGGCCCCTGCCGGCAGCCAGTGAAGGGAGGCCCCGGCCGGCAGCAGGCAGCCAGCAGCCGCTAGGGACCCTACCCATGCATGAATTTCGTGCACTGGGCCTCTAGTGTGAACATAAAAGCTTGTTGTGACAGTGAAGAGAACAAGCAGGTACAGGTCCCAGCACATCGCCTGCATGTAAGGATGTTAGCTGCGCTGCTACCACTGCTGCAAATGTGGAGAACTGGCTTGGGGTCCGGCGATGGGGGCAGAGGACACTGACACACGCCAGGCGGTCACCCTGGGTTCACACATGAGAGCTCGTCTCCCAGTAGTTTAACATAAGGAAATGGAAGCTCAGAGACAGTAACTTACTCAGGTCAGTCAGTTGGGAGATGATTAAGTAAATTATAATGCAACCACTCCCGGGACATTGCAAGGACTGGTGGTATCAGGGAAACTGCTTTAGATAAATTATTGGACGGGAGAGGCAGAGTTGCGTGTTCATCATGAGTATATTACCCACGGATCAGCAATGTGTCTGAAATGGTGGGGAAGGCACTAGGGAAGGAGAAAGAATGCCCTTATGTTAGATGGTGGAGTGTGGGATAGTAAGTTTTCCTCTAATGCAGAATTTCTGTGAAAGCAACATACTACTTTTATAATTGAACAAACATTGGAAATGACCTGGTAAAGAAAAAAATACCCTGCTCTCAGGAGAAGTGAACAGTAGCAGCAGCAGCAATAATGATAATAAATGTTAGCTATTACTGTTATTAATGACCCAAAGCTCGCCTACTATTGATGCAAATTCCTTGGTGGTTGCCACCTGTTTTGTTTTATTTTAAACAGAAAGCCAGGAATGGCCATGTTTCGATTCCTGATATGAGGTCAGAGAAAGCAGTCCCCCGGCTTCACTGTCCGTCCCTGCAGCATTTCAGGAAGCATTATTTGATTCCACAGACGCCTGTGATCTTGGAAGGCGTGGCCGACCATTGGCCGTGCATGAAGAAGTGGAGGTGGGTGGCTGCTGAGGGCCAGAGGTTCTCCCTCCATTTCAGCATTCCCAGACTCCCTGCACTCCTCCCCAGCACCTCTAAGGAGCACAGCCCCTGGACACGTCACTACCAGGCCCTGGGATGGGTGGCTGAGGGTTAAACAAGAACTGACAGCCCTGGCCTGGTGGGTCAGTGGTTAGAACATCAGCCTGCACACTGAAGGCTGCAGGGCAAGGGCACGTACCTGGGTTGCAGGTTCGGTCCCCAGCCTTGATCAGAGCGCATTCGGGAAGCAACTAGTCAATGTGTGTCTCTCGCATCATTGTTTCTATCTTTCTCTCTCCATCCCTCCCTTCCACTCTCTCTAAAAGTCAATGGAAAAATTATCCTCAGGTGAGGATTAACAACAACAACAAAAAGTTGTGGATTCAATTCTTGGTCAGGACACACACCTGGGTTGCGGGTTCAATCCCTGGTAAGGTGCATACAGGAAGCAACCGATGGATGTGTCTCTCTCACGTCAGTGTTTCTTTCTCCCCCTTCATCTCTGAAATTAAAAAAATAAAAATAGGGGGAAAAGGAGACATATGTAATACTTTAAACAATAATAAATAAGTAAATCCTCGGGTAAGGATTAAAAACAAACAGCAACAGTCAGAGCTCTGGATCTTCGCCAGATCTAAGACTCTCACCCTCCCACTTGCTTGCCCGAAGCCGTTTTTAATCCGGGCTTCAGGGCAGTCCAGGATTAAGTCTCTTAAACAGTTTTGTAGGATCTTGGGAATTTTGTGGCCAGCGCTAGGTGATGGTACAGAAGGGCCCAGGCCCTGTCCTCTCAGCACTGACAGTAGAGTGAGGCTGTAAAAGATGGGGGGAGGCAGCTTCAGGGAGTGTTCAGGGAAGGCCTCTTTGATGAGGGACATCTACATATATAAAAGCCTAATATGCAAAGTGTCCCCTTGGGAGTTCAACCAACAGGGAGTTTGATTGCTCACTATGACGTATGCTGACTGATCACCAGGGGGCGGTGCAGAATGAAAGAAGGCCCCTGCCGGCAGCCAGTGAAGGGAGGCCCCGGCCGGCAGCAGGCAGCCAGCAGCCGCTAGGGACCCTACCCATGCATGAATTTCGTGCACTGGGCCTCTAGTGTGAACATAAAAGCTTGTTGTGACAGTGAAGAGAACAAGCAGGTACAGGTCCCAGCACATCGCCTGCATGTAAGGATGTTAGCTGCGCTGCTACCACTGCTGCAAATGTGGAGAACTGGCTTGGGGTCCGGCGATGGGGGCAGAGGACACTGACACACGCCAGGCGGTCACCCTGGGTTCACACATGAGAGCTCGTCTCCCAGTAGTTTAACATAAGGAAATGGAAGCTCAGAGACAGTAACTTACTCAGGTCAGTCAGTTGGGAGATGATTAAGTAAATTATAATGCAACCACTCCCGGGACATTGCAAGAACTGGTGGTATCAGGGAAACTGCTTTAGATAAATTATTGGACGGGAGAGGCAGAGTTGCGTGTTCATCATGAGTATATTACCCACTGATCAGCAATGTGTCTGAAATGGTGGGAAAGACACTAGGGAAGGAGAAAGAATGCCCTTATGTTAGATGGTGGAGTGTGGGATAGTAAGTTTTCCTCTAATGCAGAATTTCTGTGAAAGCAACATACTACTTTTATAATTGAACAAACATTGGAAATGACCTGGTAAAGAAAAAAATACCTTGCTCTCAGGAGAAGTGAACAGTAGCAGCAGCAGCAATAATGATAATAAATGTTAGCTATTACTGTTATTAATGACCCAAAGCTCGCCTACTATTGATGCAAATTCCTTGGTGGTTGCCACCTGTTTTGTTTTATTTTAAACAGAAAGCCAGGAATGGCCATGTTTCGATTCCTGATATGAGGTCAGAGAAAGCAGTCCCCCGGCTTCACTGTCCGTCCCTGCAGCATTTCAGGAAGCATTATTTGATTCCACAGACGCCTGTGATCTTGGAAGGCGTGGCCGACCATTGGCCGTGCATGAAGAAGTGGAGGTGGGTGGCTGCTGAGGGCCAGAGGTTCTCCCTCCATTTCAGCATTCCCAGACTCCCTGCACTCCTCCCCAGCACCTCTAAGGAGCACAGCCCCTGGACACGTCACTACCAGGCCCTGGGGTGGGTGGCTGAGGGTTAAACAAGAACTGACAGCCCTGGTCTGGTGGGTCAGTGGTTAGAACATCAGCCTGCACACTTTCTCGAGGGCCCTGCAGTTTCAGAGTAGAAATAAGAGCCCCAGAAACAGCCTGTCCCCTTCTCTGGGCACCTACGACTCTTGTGTTTGCTTCCTCCTCACACCTGCCTGTAGTCCCGCCTCAGGCTCAGGCTCAGGGAGGCTGGCAGCTGGAGAGTGGCCGTATCACCATAGCTGCGCATCTTTTTGGAAATGAGGAGGGTCTCTAGGGAAGGGTGAGCGAGTCAGCCTGCCACGGTGGTAGCCTTGTGGAGGAAGTGGCTCCCACTGAGACAGAGGAGCTCTGACTGCAGCAGCCCACGTGCCAGCAAGCATGCAGCATACGTGCCAGGCATGTTTCACTGCGTGCCAGGCGTGTTCCATGTTTCACTGCATGCCAGTGGTGTTGCGTGTTTGCTGTGTGCCAGGCATGGTACATGTTTCACTGCATGCCAATGGTGTTACATGTTTGCTGTGTGGTACATGTTTCACTGCGTACCAGGTGCCAAGACAGGCCCTTGCCATGTTTAACTCTCTTTGTCCTGGTTCCTGTGGGACAGGCACAGTCGTCGCCACCATTTTGCAGTGATGACCAGAGGCTCAGCGAGGGTAGGTAACTTGCTCGATCCCCAGGTCTATTGCGGCAGGGTCTGGAGTCAGTGCCAGGCCACCAGGGTTGAGACCCAGGCACCTCTCCACCCTGTACTGCTGGCCATTTACTCAGCTGCGTGACAAGGCAAGCTGTAGCAGAGCAGCCGTGGAGAATTGAGGCAAATGAGGTTTATTGGATCTGTCTGCAAAGCCATCCAGCGCCAGGTGGGCGGAGCCTCACCTCTGCCCGTGGGGTCTAGTCCAGTGGTCGCCAACCGGTGGTCCGTGAGGTCCAAAAGGTTGGCGACAGGTGGTAGTGCAATGGGGGTGGCAGCTTCCACCTCGAAAGTGGTGATGCTGAGAGGAGACCAGTGTCCAGCGTGCTGAGCAGAGTGCCCTGCAAGCACGAGCAATAGTGATGAAATGACGTGTATATTTTCTGACAGCTTGGAGTATATACAAGAAATTGCTGGCTGCCGCACTGTCCCGGTGGAAGTGGGCTCTAGGTACACCGACGAGGAATGGTCCCAGAGGCTCATGACGGTCAGTGAGTTCATCAGCTGCTACATCCTCAACGAGGTATGTCATTCTGACTCCTTTCTAATACTTATTGGAGGAACACATTACATTTGGGCACATAAGTCCGTGCACTGCACTGGAGGCTTGGGAGTGGTCAGTCTCTAAGAGTCTTGACAGGAGGCAGCCACAGCCAGGAAGGCAGGCTACTGGGTAGGCAGGTGGGCCACGTGACAGGACGTGAGGGGCTCATTTCAAAAACTTTGTTGTACATTTCAGTGTCTTGAGTATATTCTAACATTGTGCAACCATCCCTACTATGTAATTCCGGAAAATTTTTATCACTCCCAAAAGAAACCCCAAACTAAGTCATAGTCGCTTCCCACTCCCTTTCCCCCCATCTCCAGGCAACTACTAACCTGCTACTGTTTCTATGGATTTGCCAGTTCTGGGCATTTCCTGTAGATGGAGTCATGCAGTGTGTGGCCTTCTGAGTCTGGCTTCCTTCACTGAGCCTCATGTTTCCCAGGCTCATCCGGGTTGTGGCATCTGTCACATTCATTCCTCTTTACGGCTGATCGTATTCCACTGTATGGAGAGGCCATGTGCTGTTTATCCATTCGTCAGTTGGGGGCATTTGAGCTGTGTGCACTTTCCGTCAGTATCAAAATGCTGCTGGAGTCCTGGCCGGGTGGCTCGGTTGGTTGGAGCATCGTCCCGTACACCAAAAAGGTTGTGGGTTCGATTCGCTGTTGGCACAAAGCTAGGTTGCGGGTTCCATCCCCGGTCGGGGCGCGTATGGGAGGCAACCAGTCGATGTTTCTCTCTCACATATCTCTCTCTCCTTCCTCTCTCTCTGAAAATCAGTAAAAGCAGGTCCTCGGGTGAGGATTTAGAAAAGAAACGCTGCTGTAGACACTCGTGTAAAGTGTGTGTGTGGACATCGTTTTCGTTTCTGTTAGGTGTGTACTGAGTGGAATTGCTGGTAACGCCACGTGGTAGCTCTGCGTTTCACCTTTTAGGAATGAACTGCCAAACTGTTTTCCAAAGCAGCTGCGCTGTTTTGTCATTTCAGAGTCTTACTAGCGAGGGCCGGGAATGCAGCTTGTCTGCGGGGGCCTGAACCATCCCTGTTGACTGGTGGTATCAGGGAAACTGCTTTAGATAAATTATTGGACGGGAGAGGCAGAGTTGCGTGTTCATCATGAGTATATTACCCACGGATCAGCAATGTGTCTGAAATGGTGGGGAAGGCACTAGGGAAGGAGAAAGAATGCCCTTATGTTAGATGGTGGAGTGTGGGATAGTAAGTTTTCCTCTAATGCAGAATTTCTGTGAAAGCAACATACTACTTTTATAATTGAACAAACATTGGAAATGACCTGGTAAAGAAAAAAATACCTTGCTCTCAGGAGAAGTGAACAGTAGCAGCAGCAGCAATAATGATAATAAATGTTAGCTATTACTGTTATTAATGACCCAAAGCTCGCCTACTATTGATGCAAATTCCTTGGTGGTTGCCACCTGTTTTGTTTTATTTTAAACAGAAAGCCAGGAATGGCCATGTTTCGATTCCTGATATGAGGTCAGAGAAAGCAGTCCCCCGGCTTCACTGTCCGTCCCTGCAGCATTTCAGGAAGCATTATTTGATTCCACAGACGCCTGTGATCTTGGAAGGCGTGGCCGACCATTGGCCGTGCATGAAGAAGTGGAGGTGGGTGGCTGCTGAGGGCCAGAGGTTCTCCCTCCATTTCAGCATTCCCAGACTCCCTGCACTCCTCCCCAGCACCTCTAAGGAGCACAGCCCCTGGACACGTCACTACCAGGCCCTGGGATGGGTGGCTGAGGGTTAAACAAGAACTGACAGCCCTGGCCTGGTGGGTCAGTGGTTAGAACATCAGCCTGCACACTGAAGGCTGCAGGGCAAGGGCACGTACCTGGGTTGCAGGTTCGGTCCCCAGCCTTGATCAGAGCGCATTCGGGAAGCAACTAGTCAATGTGTGTCTCTCGCATCATTGTTTCTATCTTTCTCTCTCCATCCCTCCCTTCCACTCTCTCTAAAAGTCAATGGAAAAATTATCCTCAGGTGAGGATTAACAACGTGAGGTCCAAAAGGTTGGCGACAGGTGGTAGTGCAATGGGGGTGGCAGCTTCCACCTCGAAAGTGGTGATGCTGAGAGGAGACCAGTGTCCAGCGTGCTGAGCAGAGTGCCCTGCAAGCACGAGCAATAGTGATGAAATGACGTGTATATTTTCTGACAGCTTGGAGTATATACAAGAAATTGCTGGCTGCCGCACTGTCCCGGTGGAAGTGGGCTCTAGGTACACCGACGAGGAATGGTCCCAGAGGCTCATGACGGTCAGTGAGTTCATCAGCTGCTACATCCTCAACGAGGTATGTCATTCTGACTCCTTTCTAATACTTATTGGAGGAACACATTACATTTGGGCACATAAGTCCGTGCACTGCACTGGAGGCTTGGGAGTGGTCAGTCTCTAAGAGTCTTGACAGGAGGCAGCCACAGCCAGGAAGGCAGGCTACTGGGTAGGCAGGTGGGCCACGTGACAGGACGTGAGGGGCTCATTTCAAAAACTTTGTTGTACATTTCAGTGTCTTGAGTATATTCTAACATTGTGCAACCATCCCTACTATGTAATTCCGGAAAATTTTTATCACTCCCAAAAGAAACCCCAAACTAAGTCATAGTCGCTTCCCACTCCCTTTCCCCCCATCTCCAGGCAACTACTAACCTGCTACTGTTTCTATGGATTTGCCGGTTCTGGGCATTTCCTGTAGATGGAGTCATGCAGTGTGTGGCCTTCTGAGTCTGGCTTCCTTCACTGAGCCTCATGTTTCCAAGGCTCATCCGGGTTGTGGCATCTGTCACATTCATTCCTCTTTACGGCTGATCGTATTCCACTGTATGGAGAGGCCATGTGCTGTTTATCCATTCGTCAGTTGGGGGCATTTGAGCTGTGTGCACTTTCCGTCAGTATCAAAATGCTGCTGGAGTCCTGGCTGGGTGGCTCGGTTGGTTGGAGCATCGTCCCGTACACCAAAAAGGTTGTGGGTTCGATTCGCTGTTGGCACAAAGCTAGGTTTCGGGTTCCATCCCCGGTCGGGGCGCGTATGGGAGGCAACCAGTCGATGTTTCTCTCTCACATATCTCTCTCTCCTTCCTCTCTCTCTGAAAATCAGTAAAAGCAGGTCCTCGGGTGAGGATTTAGAAAAGAAACGCTGCTGTAGACACTCGTGTAAAGTGTGTGTGTGGACATCGTTTTCGTTTCTGTTAGGTGTGTACTGAGTGGAATTGCTGGTAACGCCACGTGGTAGCTCTGCGTTTCACCTTTTAGGAACTAACTGCCAAACTGTTTTCCAAAGCAGCTGTGCCGTTTTGTCATTTCAGAGTCTTACTAGCGAGGGCCGGGAATGCAGCTTGTCTGCGGGGGCCTGAACCATCCCTGTTGGCCGGGACAAGGGGAGCTCTCAGGGGCTGTCCACCCGCACCTGTGGTGGGCAAGGACCTTCACGAGGTGTGCGCGGTCAGCATCAGTGCTTTGCAGCTCTTCCGCCGCACCCGGCAGCCCGCTCCCAGCCCAGGGGCTCTGTAAAGCTCTGACCGGTTTGGTCATGGGTCTGCTGCATTGACCGTCCAGGTCAGTGACCATGGGGCTAAGGTTTCCTCAGCTGCTGGAGTCCTGGCTGGGTGGCTCGGTTGGTTGGAGCATCGTCCCGTACACCAAAAAGGTTGTGGGTTCGATTCGCTGTTGGCACAAAGCTAGGTTTCGGGTTCCATCCCCGGTCGGGGCGCGTATGGGAGGCAACCAGTCGATGTTTCTCTCTCACATATCTCTCTCTCCTTCCTCTCTCTCTGAAAATCAGTAAAAGCAGGTCCTCGGGTGAGGATTTAGAAAAGAAACGCTGCTGTAGACACTCGTGTAAAGTGTGTGTGTGGACATCGTTTTCGTTTCTGTTAGGTGTGTACTGAGTGGAATTGCTGGTAACGCCACGTGGTAGCTCTGCGTTTCACCTTTTAGGAACTAACTGCCAAACTGTTTTCCAAAGCAGCTGTGCCGTTTTGTCATTTCAGAGTCTTACTAGCGAGGGCCGGGAATGCAGCTTGTCTGCGGGGGCCTGAACCATCCCTGTTGGCCGGGACAAGGGGAGCTCTCAGGGGCTGTCCACCCGCACCTGTGGTGGGCAAGGACCTTCACGAGGTGTGCGCGGTCAGCATCAGTGCTTTGCAGCTCTTCCGCCGCACCCGGCAGCCCGCTCCCAGCCCAGGGGCTCTGTAAAGCTCTGACGGGTTTGGTCATGGGTCTGCTGCATTGACCATCCAGGTCAGTGACCATGGGGCTAAGGTTTCCTCGCTTGGCCTTCTCACCTTCTCACCTGACGGACCACCCCGTGGCCCTTCCTGACCCCATCTCTGCGCTCCTACATTTCCCCTCCTCCACGGCACTCGGTGCGGTTCACTTGGCTGCGGGGCCCCTCCAGCAGGGCTCACAGACGTCCTTCCATTCCTGCTTCTGCATTCCTCCCGGCCCCGTCTCTGCTCAGTTCACTGTCACCTGGAGGCCTGGAAAGAGAGCTGTGGGCTAGAGACGTGCCGTGTGCACGTCCACCTCTGCTGTAGGCATGCACCCCGCACGGGCCTGGGCATCTCCCTCCGCCAGGAGGAAGCCTGCTTGCTCGGCAGAGGCGGAGCCAGAGGGTGTGCGTGGGTCAGGATGTGCACTTGCAGTTCAGGCAGAACAGCACTGTATCCAGCACTGGCCCTGGCTGGCTGTGTGTCGTCGGCTGGTTACTTAACCTCTCGGGTCGCCAGTGCCCTGACCTTTGGTTAGTTAGGTCGGTTGGGGTCGGTTGAAGTTACCGACGCTTCCTAGGGTCATTGCGAGAGTAGCAGGGGGAGCTGCAAGAGCACAGCTGGCGCTCAGTTACCATGGCCTTCGGTCCCTCTGCACCAGGGGCTATAGGTCACGTCACATCTGGCTCTGCCCAGCGCTTAGTGCAGGGTCTGGCATTTTGTAAACTGTTTGTGGGAAGGAAGAGAGAATGAAGGAGGAGACAGAAAGACAGATTTTTGAGGAATCCTGGGGGAACTTCTTTCCTTCAACACCATTTCAGCCTCAGAGCTTGAGGCCAAGCCAACTCCGCCCTGAAGCCCGAGGGCCGCGCCTGGCGTCCCTCCACTCCTCCAATGGATCCCCAGGGCCGGTGTGTGAAACTGACCTTTTCACACAGTGATAATCTCCAAAGATGTAGGAAAATGGGCGCTCAGATTAATTGCTGGGAAGAGTCTAAATCATTTAACTTTGGGGCAAATAACCTGGCAGAAGCTATGAAAATTTAAAAAGCACATACTCCTTGTCTCAGTTCTGCTTTTGCACATAGTATCTTATATAATAAAGAGCTAATATGCATATGGTCGTCACGCCCTCGTGACGGGGCCAGGGGACCTGAGGCCGAGCCCCCTGCCTTGTGGGGCTTGATGGAGGTGGGGCCGGCCGGGTCTGGGTCTCGCGCGATTTCAAGGTGTGCACGGGTGGGCAGGGACTTGACTCTGGGTCCCGTGGCACACCCCAGACTCTGACAGGAGGGAGATTTTTATATACATTTTACTAATTTTCTTTTGTCTCTGACACTTCTATTATAGAGAAAGGGCAAACAGCAATATTAAAATATTTCCTCTAATTAATTCCATTTTAATGTGCACGAATTTCATGCACCGGGCCACTAGTATGAATATAAGGACCAAACTATTAGGCTGTTGATGAAACACTAGCAAACACCCTAAATGGGCAAAACAACCCCAATGTCCACCAGTAGGGGGAAAGGTGAGTTAATAACAGTGTATCTGTCAATAAAGAAATATCCAAAAGAATGAGTCAGACACATATGTATCGACTTGAGAGATTCGTGGTGAAATGAAAAAAGCAGATTTCAAAGTAATACATATAATATATATAATATGATTCCATTTTTATTTTTTTAAATCATCCCCTTCATTTTTT